AGGGGACGACCCAAAGCCTTGTGACCTGCACCCACGTGGGAGACCTGGAAGAAGTTCCAGATTCCTGGGTTTGAATTGGTTCAGCTGCAGGCATTGCGGCCATTCGGGGAGTGAATCAGTGGATGGAAGATTTCTCTCTTTGTCTCTGAAAATTTGTCTTTAAAAGTAAACAAATCTTTAAAAATGTTTGAAAAGCACAGACCCCTGCCAGCTGCCCTGAGCCTCACCCACCTGCACAGGCCATCCGTCATTGTGGTCCTTTGTCCAGGTCCCCTTGCCCCACAGTGTCAGTCCTCCTGGCTCTGCCAGCCAAGCTCTATGTCTCTGCCACAGCCTGAGCCACTGGCCATCTAACCCTGAGGGCCCTGGTGTCTGACCCATCGGCTATCTGTGTCATGGACATGAGCTCCTCTGAATCGGGGTCCACACGGGCTCCCAGGGCTCAGCCCAGCACGGCCAGCGTAGCTTGAGTGGCACTTGCCTCCTAAGTCTAACTTCCAAGCTCCCCTCTGTGCCCACAGCCTCCTGGCCCTGCCCCCTCTGCCAGCAATAAATACATACATTCCACATCATTCTCTAAGTTGATGCCTCCAGGCGAAGACAAAACCAAAGGCCGGTGCCTGCTCCATTTGTAAGGGCACAGTCTTGCCTAGTGCCAGGACACAGCTTGGTGCACATGCAGCATAACTAAAGGACCTGAGGAGGCAGCACCGTATCCATGGAGCCGCTGACCGGGGGTTTCCTGACTGCCAAGGCCATGACTTGTTTCTTCATGTTCCTGGTGGATCTGCTATCAAGCTGGGTTACACGCTAACTACCAGGCTGCTCGACACTGCTAGGCCTGGGCAGCCTGCTGCAGGTGGACCCAGGAGTTCCCAAGGTGAGTTCTGGGAGCACAGAGCCTTTGAGCGGGGCTGGGCTCCCGTAGGGATGGGGCTCCTTGGGCCACACATGCTTCTTTAGCCTCCAAGTCCCTCTGTGGCCACCAGGGGCCTCAGCATCATGTAGATCAGGAAGCAGAGTGAGGAAGACCGGGAGCTGGAAGGACACTTGCAGGCCAGGTGGGGGTCCTGGGAGGTGTGAGCAGGCGGGGGTCCTGGGAGGTGTGAGCAGGCGGGGGTCCTGGGAGGTGTGAGCAGGCGGGGGTCCTGGGAGGTGTGAGCAGGCGGGGGTCCTGGGAGGTGTGAGCAGGCTGGGGTCCTGGGAGGTGTGAGCAGGACTATGGAGGTCACACCAGATGTGCACAGATGGAGTGCCTCAGGCTTGGCAACATGTAGTGTGGAGCTGTCCTACCTCTGTAGTTCGGGAAATGCTTTGAGGACGTGTTCAACTTGTAGCTGGGGAGGACCCCTCTGATCACCCACACAGACCCAGATTGGAGTACCTGGAGCCAGGTTGGAGTACCTGGTCTTAGAGTCTGCCTCTCAAGGCAAGGGGTGGAGAGGAGACCACATCCTGGTCAGATGAAGTGGTTGGAGGGAGGGCGGTTACCACATTCAGGACAAGAAATACTGGGCGTGTAACAGGTGCTAGCACCCAGAGAAAGATCAAATCAATGGGGTGTGGCTGTGTAGGTTCTTGGAAGAAAAGCTGTGGGGTGCAGAGTGGGAGGAGCTGGGGGCGGGGCTATTAGGAGGCAGGCTAGAGAGGGACGTATAACCAAGATGGTGAAGGTACTCAGTGGGACATGAGCATCTGCCAGGCAGTTAGGTGATGCTGACCTTTGGACAGAGGTGTGGCCAGTCCAGAACATGGCCTCCAGGGGTTGTCATGGTGCACTACTGACGTCCATGTCCACCTTGCACTACCTTGACCTGGGCAAGAAGTCACTGGAACAGTGGGTGACCAAGGAGGCCACCTGCTTCTGAGCCGCCTACACTGGATCCCAGGCTGACTGAGCCCCTGACTCACCCACAGGTCGCCGTGTGTGTCTCGGGGAGCCCCTGGCCCGCATGGAGCTCTTCCTCTTCTTCACCTGCCTCCTGCAGCGCTTCACGTTCTCGGTGCCCGCGGGGCAGCCCCGGCCCAGCGACCACGGGGTCCCTGGTGCCCTTATGACCCCAGCTGCCTACTAGCTCTGTGCTTTGGTCTGTAGTTGGGGGCTTGAGTTCTCAATTCACTCCTCAAACAGCCCCAATCCACAATAACATTGTCTCGTAGTTCCTGTGTGATTGCTGAATCCATCACTAGTTGCTCATCAGACCCTGGCTGAGTTGGTTCTGCAGCCCCTACCTGACCCTGTACCACCTCTGTCCCATCCATCTCCCATGTCCACTGGGGTCCATTTGAAGTTTGGTGACCCAAAGCTTGGAACCAATAGCCCACCGAGGCACCCATTGCCACCCCACCTAGATGTGTGTTCAGGTGCAAAGGCTGCCCAGCAGTCTTGGCTCAATCTGGGAACCAAGAGGACCAAGATGGGTGTTTGTGAGTAGGATGTTATCCAGTCTCTGGGGAGATTGTAGGGGTCCCCCATCGCCCCTCTGGCTCCCTGATTTGTTAGAAGCCCTCACAGAACCGGAAACATTGTCCTCACTATGTGGCTGATTATGACAGAGGACAAAGATTGAAGCTGCAAGTGGTGAGAGGCACACAGGGCTGCAATGAGCAAGCCCAGGCCTCAGCGTCCAGCCTGTCCCTCCTGGGGACTCATCCACACAGCGCTGAGTGCTCCCAGCACTGCGTGTGACAGCGGTGGAGAGGGCTGAGAGCTGGGCAGTGCCCGAGCTACCATCCAGGGCTTTGCGGGGGTCAGTCACCTGGCCGAGTTGTTAACCCCGCCCAAGGTCAGATTGCTACATGCCAGGTCTCCCTAGGATGCACTGGTCTCCACTGGCGGTGCGGTAGTCAAGGTCTCAGGCTTGGGAAGGTCTGGAGTCAGGAGGGCCACCCTGGACACGGGGGCGGGTTTCCTAGCAGCCTGTGCAGCCCCAATGATTCCTTACAGAAAAGGTGGGGTTGGACTCGTCCACCTGCTTCCCAGGCACCCCTCAACTCTTAGAGCAAGATCGTCCTGTGACTTCGAGCATCTGTGTTCCTATGTGCGAGGAGTAGACCCAGAGTCTAAAAGGCACACTGCTGGTCCCTCTCAGCTGTGCAATGCATGGTGGGTAAACACACTGACAGAACAGCCGTCACTCACAGAACTCCTCATTCTAGAAATTAGACTGCACACCCACAAGACGACCCCCCCACCATCCACTCCTCCAAACCCCCTGTTAGCTGCCATTGTCACTTCTCTGACTCAGATCACTGCACATCAGCCTGATACCACGGGGACTCTGACTGGCTTGCTGCACTCAGACCACGCTGGGTTTTTGTTTGTTTGTTTATGAAGTTTTTATTTGATAGACAGTTACAAGAGAAACATGCAAGAGACAGAGACTTCCAACTGCTGTTTGACTTCCCAAATGGCCACATGGGCAATTGCTTAACTGAGGCAAGCAGCCAGGTGCTGCCTCCAGGTCTCATGTGTGGGTGCAGGGACCCAAGCACTTGGAACACCCCCTGCTGCCTCTCGCAGTCTCGGGCAACGGGTCCATCCCCTGAGCCGAGGCCTTTCTCGTCAGTGCCGATGTGAGTGTCCCCACAGGATCTTCATCGCTGACAGATGTGGCTGGATTCTCGTGTTTAGAGAGGTACTTGAGGTCCTGGGTTGGTGCCCTGCAGGAGGCTAATGCATGTTTCCTGCTTCTCCACTAGTCCACAGAGTGGCCTGCCCAACACGCAATGAGTTTTGAGGTCAGAACCCTGACCCAGTGGCTTTGGTTCTGAGATCTGACATCACGAAGTTTCATAATGAAGCAGAGATGGAAGCACAGGGTTCCCATTGCTGGGTCCCTAGGCCCTGAGGACTGTTTCTAAGCAGGCCATCTTGAGTGGCAGAAGGGGGTGGTGGCAACCCCAGATACCAGGGCATGGTAGCCCTACAGGCCCCAGTTGGTTCTCTCAACCAGGCCAGCCAGTAGACCACGCACCTAGGCTAAGGTGACTTGAAGCCAGGAGAATGTTCATAGGGCTGGGTGATGTCCACGGTCCAACCATCTCTCTCAGGAGACAGAGCAAGCAAAATGAAATGGAAGGAAGGGAAGAAGAGGTCAGAGGCAGAGAGAAGGGGGGAGGGGAGGGAAAGGAAGTACCCACATTATTCAGCCCTCGTCCCAGTCTCCCTGAGCCTGACGAATCTTGCAGTGTGGCCTGCATTAGGTTCATCGGCCTGGGAGCAGAGCCCTTGGGTGAGAGAGGTGATGGCATTGCACATGGCCCTGTTCAGGAGCACCTTGGGGAGAAAGGGCATCCTGGGGGCAGGGTTGTGGTCATGGGTTGTGCCCTTGGTGCCTGCGCCTGATCCCGCCTTCATCCTCAGCCCATCACCCACCGTGGTGGTCAGAGGAGGCAGCCCAGAGGCAGGCGTCCTCCTCGGTCACCCACTGCTTCAGTGACTCCTTACCCAGGCTGAAGTTGCACAGAGTGGACACTGAGAACGGAACTGCTCCCAAGCCACAAGGCATAGTGCACCTTGATCACCCCCGGGGTGGGTTCGATGGTGGTGGCTGGATGGTGGGCATGACCTGTACTGCCCTGCTCAACTATCCACCTCAAGTCCCACCCCCAACATTCCTCTTCCTGTTCACTCTGCCCAGCTTCTGGCCAGTGCACATGCCCCTCTGCTGAGCAGGTAGAAAGTCCCGCACACAGCGCCACCTCATGCCCACTCTGCCTCCTCTGCACCCTGCACCTTCTCATCCTGGCTCCTAGACACCCACAGCCCACTGATTCCCTTTATTCTCTGGGTGCCACACACCTGTCACGACGCTGGGAGTCCATGTCGTGGATACAGTCAAGCCCTCTCTGACTTGGGTCTCCATGTCTTGTATGGAGCCACGTAGTAGCAAGATGAGTAGAGCTGGCGAAGAGAACCCATCCCAAGGGATGACCGGCAGACCAACTATGTAATCAAGAACATGGGAGCTGGGAGACTGCTTTATTGTTGATCAGGACCTGTTGAGTAGTGCGATGAGAACTTTAGACCCCCATACCCTACTAACGAACCACAGCACAAAGCTGGTAGGGGGTTGGGAACATCAGGGAGCGGTTTATGGCATGGTCGCTGGGCCGGGGCTGCCCCGCGGGCACCGAGAACGTGAAGCGCTGCAGGAGGCAGGTGAAGAAGAGGAAGAGCTCCATGCGGGCCAGGGGCTCCCCGAGACACGCACGGCGACCTGTGGGTGAGTCAGGGGCTCAGTCAGCCTGGGCTCTAACCCTCCCCTCTCCCCAGGGACAGGGGCAGCAGGCAGCACCCCCAGGCACCTGTGGAGAAAGGCATGAAGGCCTCCTTCTTCACAAAGTTGCCCTGAGCATCGAGGAAGTGTTCCGGATAGAAGCGGAAGGGCTTCTCCCAGATGGTCTCGTCCTTCAGCACCGATGACAGGTTGGTGAGGAGCATTGTCCCCTGGGAGGAAGAGCCTGGCATGAGTGGGGGCAAGACTGGGAGCAGGACCCCAATCTCAGGGTACAGGCACAACCTGGCACCTCCTGGCCTCCATCAAGCAACCTTCACCCCAAGAACTGCTCAGGTCCTCTGTCCCTCTTGTAGCGTACTGTCTCCTAGTTCCCATGGCACCTCACTGCCACCTGTCCCTGCACTCTTCAGGGTTTTTGTGTGGACAGGACAGTCCCTGCCTCTGCTCAGTGCCCACCCTGCTCTGGCTGGACCAGTGGGTACCCAGGCCATTGAGGACTGGGTGGCCCAGGCTGCACCCACCTCATTGTGAGAAGACACAGGGGACACCAGGTGACAGGACCAGCCTACCTTGGGGATGAGGAAGCCCTGTATTTCAGTGTCACGTGATGTCACATGGGGTGCACCCAGAGCAGCAATGTCCCCAAAGCGCTGAATCTCATGGATCACGGCACAGGTGAAGGGCATGCGGGCCTGGTCTGCCATCTCTGGTCGTCGCACCTGCCCTATGACCTCATCAATCTCCTGCTGGACACGGCCTGCACAGACAAGGGTCCCCACAGCAGCTCAGCACCCTGGAGCTGAGCATGAACCCCCTGCTGTCTCCCATGGAGGAACTGTCCCCTGGGGAGCAGGAGGGCACTGTGGCAGGAGGCTGCCCAGCCTGCGCTCAGAGTCACAGGGGTCCAGGTCAGCTCAGAGGACTCTGCATGTCTATCTTCCCATCTTCCACCCAGCATCCCCAATAACTTCTGCCTTTAGCATTCCCTGTGGGACTCACGTTGCACTTCCGGGTGCAGGACCATGAGCAGGAGGGCCCAGTCCAGCGTGGTGGATGTGGTCACCATCCCTGCTATGAACAGGTCAGACACCACCATGCGCAGGTTGTCATCATTGAAGCTGCTCTCAAGGTTCCCCTTGGCCTGGTCAGGGAGATACAGTGGGCTCAGGGCTTGCCCAAAGGAGGGACTGCTGAGCAGTGCACAGGACCCAGCTGCTAGTGCTGGGCCTCCAGGGACCCCCAGCCTCCATCCTCTGTTCCTGGCAGTGACCCACCTTCTCCACCTCTATCAGGTAGGCATCAGTCAGGTCTCGGGGAGGTTGGGTGGGATCCCATGTCCTGCGATGCTCAGCCAGCAGCTCCTCCATCTCAACCATCAAGGTCTTCTGGCCCTGGAATAGTCTGTCGAACAGCCCTGGGATACGCAGGAGTATGGGCATCGTATTCAGCACCTATGGGGTCACAGAAGGACTGGGTTTTCATTGGCTGGGTTCTCACTAAAATATTGGCAGGAGCCGCCTCTCCTGGGTGGACCAGGCCCTGTTTGTCCCCTCCAGTGAGCATGTGCAGTCATTACTGGTGCATTCATGTGCTGTGCACAACCTAGCGTGCAGGAGGTACTGAATCCTCATCTCAGGAACCTGGATGCTCCAGCCCTGCAGGACTGACAGCTTCCTGCACCTCCCCTGGGCTCCCTGACCCTGCCTGTCCTCCATTGCTGCGTCCTGAGATCCCCCAGCTTCAGCTCTTCCTTCCAGCAGTTCTTTTGCACCACATTGGATACACCTCTAACCCACGAAACTTCCTTGAGCTTTGCACCTGTGGCATGGTGCCTGTCGTCTCCTCCAGCGCCCTCTGGGTTGCTTCTATCAGCCTGTTTAAGCATGGTTCCTCATACTCAAAGCGACGCCCATGGGTGAGCGAGGCGATGACGTTGCACACGGCTTTGTTCAGGAGCCTGCTGGGGCGAAATGGGTGTCCTGGGAACACATGTGTAATTAGGTAGTCAGTCCCTTGGTCTGCACACCCGATCCCGACTGAGCCCTTTACCCCATCACTCACCTGCATGTTCAGAGAAGGCAGCACAGAGGCAGGCGGCCTCCTCGGTCACCCACTGCTCCAGCGACTTCTTGCCCAGGCCGAAGTTGCGCAGAGTGGACACAGAGAAGCGACGCTGCTCACGCCAGGCAGGCCCATAGTGTGCCATGATCACTCCTGTGTGCCGGGCCATGCTGTGGGTCTGGTCTGTCCTGTCCCCGCCCAGTCCCACTTCCTGCCCTGCTTCTTCTTGCCAGCCCCAGCCATACACTGGGGAGTGAATTCACAGTCCCACCTTCTGAGACAGTCCTTCCTCAAACTCCGCCAGCTCTGTGCCTGCACCTTCTCATCCTGTGTCCTGGACATGTTATATGCCTAATAGCCCTTGTCCTGAATGTGTCTGTCTTCCCTCTACATCACCTAGTCCAGCCCAAGCACACTTTCCCCACCCACCCCTTACCTTGGGAGTGAGGCTTAAAGCCCTGGAACTCCAAGAGGGGAGTGTGTGGGCGGTCAGAGGTGTCCTCACTGTAAGTCACCAGTGCCTCACGCATGGCCACCAGCCCATTGAGCACAACCACAGGAGTCCAGGCCAGCTGCAGGCTGAACACGTCCCCATAGCGGTACTGCAGCTACGGAGGGAAGGGAGACAGGTCCATACCACACAGTCCCTAGCGTGGGGCACCCCAGCTGGGTGCAAGGTGGCTGTGACCAGGGGGTTCTGGGGATCCCCATCCTCCACAGTCACCACCTGCTCTCAGTTCCCAGGATCCTCGCCTGACCTGCAGCTGTCCTTCCAGCTCTCAGCCCTCTCTACTCTGCTTCCAGAACTAAATGGTGCTGAGGCCCTTCCCCCTGATGGCCACAGAGGGATGCGGAGGTTGCAGAACCACACGCGGGCCAAGGAGCCCCAACCCTGTGGATACCCAGCCATCCTCCAAGCCTCTGTGCTCCCAGAACTCACCTTGGAAATGTCCGGGTCCTCCGAGGCTGCACTGTGTCCTCCTCCCAGGCAGCCCCTCACACAGCTCCCTCTGCTCTTGTCCAGCCTGTGGGGTCATCCTCCCCCGTGTCTGTTGTTAGGGGCTCCACAGGTTCCTCCTTGTCCACTCCTCTCCTCACTTACCTTTCTGAAGCAGCTTGTGGGATTCTGGAAGTCCACCTGCAGCAGGTTACCCACAACTGGCAATCCCATGGGGCCCGGCGGGTAGCGTGCAGCCCAGCGCTGGCGCCGATGCATCAGGTCCACCAGGAGTAGGAAGATGGCCACGGCCACGGCCAGGGGCGTCAGGGCATCCCCGGTCAGCAGTCCCATGATTACCTGATGCCCACACGGTCGTCTGCTGTGCTTCTTGTACCAAGCTCTGTCCTAGCACCAAGCAGGCTACGTATATAAGGGTATGACATACAATGGGAGCAGACACTGGCCTTTGCCCTCTTCCTCATGGGACTCTGTGAACCCAACAAGTTCATTGTTTGCAGAGGGTACAGGGCTGTGCTGTCATGAGCAGTGAATGGTTACAAAATAAACTTTCACTACCTTTGGCCTTTTGCACTCAGATATGGGAGGGTATGTGTCACTCAAGCTACACTGGTTGTGCTGTGCTGAGCCCTGGGAGCTGGCCATGTGGACCCCTATTTAGAGGAGCTCATGTCCATGAAAGGCTCAGATAGGGCCATACCAGCCACCAGGGCTAAGAGGGTAGATGGCCACAATGCCAGGCGGCAGCAGCATTTCTGAAAAGTGGACTTTGGCTGGCAGGGCCTGGAGGACTGACACTGCAGGCCAAGGGGAATTGGACATGGGACACCAGAGATGGCCTGGGCAGCTGGGTGAGCTATGTGGGAAGGGACAGCTGGGGCCCGGGTTTTTCACGCAGTCAAGGACAGGAGGTGAGAACCGTGGTGCCCAGGTGGTCAGAAGTGTCGAGGCCATTCACGACAGAGGGAACGACTGGTCTGGTACAGAACACTGCCGTATCGGGGCCTTCCCTGAGGCCTGGCTCACCTCCATGAAGCCTGCCCCACTGTCCCCACCCTCCCCGTTACTGAGGACGGACCCTGGGTCTGGGTGTGAAGGCACCCCTGCACACAGCCAACTGATCTCTCCACACTCTGCTCCACCACAGAAAGCCTCAGGCTGATAACCCTGCGTGCACAACCAAGAGGGAAGCTCCAATGCCCAGCTGAGTCAGGCCAGGACGCGTCAAGTCCCAGCACTTCGCTTGCCTTTGCCCCCTGTGTGAAGCAGACGGGGCATCCAATGCCCAGACCCTCCCCGTCGGGATGCAGAGCAGCCAGAGCTGTGTGCGGTGTTCCTTCTAGTCTGTCTCCTGCTTCTCCAAGACAGGTTTCACTGTCCTGATTTGGTGTTGAGAAGGGGCGGGCTCTGGATGTCAGCTAGGAGCCTTCAGAGCATCTGGGCTTCTGCAGTTCTACAGGTGGACACCAGAGGGAGCAAGGGTTAGTGTTGTGGAAGATTCTAGAATAGCAATGACACTATTTTAAAAGATTTTTCTTCTTTTATTGGAAAGGCAGATTTACAGAGAGAAGGATAGAGAAAAATCTTTCATCCCTGATTCACTCCCCAAAATGGCTGCAACAGCTGGAGCTGAGCCGGTCTGAGAGCAGGAGCCAGGAGCTTCTTCCAGGTCCCACACAGATGCAAGATCCCAAGGCTTTGGGCCATCTTCAACTGCTTTCCCAGGCCACAAGCTGGAAGGGAAGTAGAGCAGCCAGGACATGAACCAGCACATGCAAGGTGAGGATTTAGCCACTGGGCTACCATGCTAGGCCCAGAAATGCAACTTTCCAAAGAAGGAAGTCTCCTGAGGCCTGGAAGGGGTGTAGTATTGTTCAGTCTGCAAAAACCAAAAATGTTGGACAATGACTGCACAACAGTGTGAATACTTAACATTTTAAAATAAACAGTTTACATAGCAGTTAAGATGGTGAATTTCATGTGTGTATAACTAAAAAAACTTAAATCACTTTTAAACGTAGGGCTTGGTGTTACGGTTCAATTAGCTAATTCTCCCCTTGCAAGTGCCAGGATCCCATATGGGCAGCAGTTCATGTTCCAGCTACCCCACTTCCCATCCAGCTCCCTGCTTGTGGCCTGAGAAAGCAGCAGAGAACGGCCCAAAGCCTGCGGTCCTGCACCATGTGGGAGATTCCGAAGAATTTCCTGGCTTCATTTCTGCTCAGCTCTGGCTGCTGTGACCATTTGCAAAGTGAACCAGTGGATGCAAAATTTTTTCCTCTGTCTCTCCTTCTCTCTGCAAATCTACCTTCCTAATAAAAATAAACCTTAACCTTAAAAACCTGTTGCATATTTATTAGAATGGTGCTAAGTCGAAAACAGACTACCAACGGTGATGCCTTTGTGAAGGTCCGGATGCGTGCCTGCACCGCTGGCAGGAGTGTCACGGAACACAGCCTGACACTCGCTTACAAAATGAGACTTGCCACCCGACCAGGGGCCCGCTCCCAGTGCTCACCCCGATGGGCTGCAAAAAACCAAGATCCACACAGAAACCCACACACATGCATGCAGCAGCTTTGTAACGCCCCAAAGCTGGAATCCACCAAGAAGCCCTCTGGCAGGTAAAGGGACAAACTGGGGCACACTGCAAAGACCACGCCATGAAGACACAATAGGAAACTTACACACGTACTGCTAGGTCAGACCTAAGCACGACCCCAACTCTGATTTTCCAGAAAAGGCAAAGCTGTGAAGTCAAAGGTGTGAGGGCGACCGACACGGGAGCAGCTGGACGCAGCCCATGACACTGTGTGCCCGCAGGAACACACAGCGAGGCTGCACCCCCCGGGCAGGCATGGCGCAGCAGGCTCAGCAGCCCCTCTGCCAGTCCTCACACACCGCAGTGCTGTTCTGCCTTCTGCGTTCTGTGGGTGTGTGACCTGACGGGGAGACGAAGAGGCAGCTCCTGGGCCGGCGCTGCCTGCTGTGGGCACTCGGGGCAAGTGAACCAGATCTCTGTGCCTGTGTCTTTGAAGTGAATGAAATTATGTTTGTGTGTACACACACACACACATTTTCAGTGACAATCATGGGTCAGTATGGGTCCATTCATGGGAACAGACTACTGTGGCAGGTTGTCGGGGCTGGGGCTTGTGAGAACTCACTCTGTCTTCTGCTGAGTGTGGTTGCAAAACTACACTCCTCTAAAAGAAATGATGTTTTAAACACACACACAGAGCTGTGGGAGCTCAAAGGGGCATGAACAGAGACAGTGCAATCTAGCCAACCCCCAGTGAGGGGTCATCTCTCAAGTCACTTTAAGGGAAGGCCTCAAACCATCACAAATGCTCCCCTGCCCCCCAAAGTATCACGAGCCAAATGACAGAGCAACATTTGCTGTTAGTAAAATGTTTCCCTCAAGACATTCATTTTTCACATTTTGTGGTTTAGCCCCTGACACCCAGTATCCATCCACTTCATTTTAACTATTAATGCCATGGCCAGACCAGTAAGAAGTGCACCTGCTGAGAAAGCTCCTGTAGAGCTACCTCAGCTGCCACGGCACAGCCACTGAAACGGACCACACCGTTGGTGTGACCATTAAACAGAAATTAACCTGCCATTTCTGCAGCCCCAAATGGATGAGCCCATCAGAACTCATTTATAATTGCTTATTCTAACTTCACAGCATTCCTTGCAGCATTCTAGTTTGCTGGAAAGGCCCACTAATGCTGTATTACTTTTTTCTAACCTTTAAAATTAATGTTGATTAAGAATATGCCCTCGCATCAACTGAAGTGAATGTGTTGGCCTGCACACAGTGGCCGGTCTCCACCTCTGCAGGTGCCCGTCATGGGGAGCCCTGGGCACCTGGGCCTTCCAGACTCATTGAACAGAGCGGGGCGCTCTGAGACCAGAGCCAAGGCCCCTCTCAGAGGCTGCAGCAGAGAAGGAAGACGCGTGTGCTTCGTAGTAAGCAAAGAAAGGAAACAAGGTTAAAATGAAGTTTATTGTTTTTTTGATTTTTGTTTTTTGTTTTTTTTAAATAAAACTGTTTGTGAAACAGCTATTTTATCCCCATGGCAGAGTGACCCCTGAAAGATGCACTAACCCCTTCTTAAGGCCTTAACAAGATTTTTTTTTGTACTTTTTTTCTTTTTTTTTTTAAACTCAGATATTTAAAAATTATACAATTTACAAAACAAAAACAAAACAAAACATTAAAAAAAAAAAGCCATAGCATCAGGCTGCGTAGCTGACAAGCCCCCTTCTCTTCTACACATATGAAAGCAAAAAGGGACAAGGGCTGAGCAGGTGTTCCTGGCAGCTCACAGATGGCCCGTTCTGGCGGCACAGGCCTGGAACCCTCCCATCCCCAGGATCCCTGGTGTGTGCCAAGGACAGAGCCCCAGGTGTCAGTCACCTCTGGACTGTGGAACTCAGGGTTCTTGGCAGCCGCAGCGACCCTGGACATTGGAATTTCAGGACATCAGGGCATCTGCCAATTTCACCACCCAAAAATTTTTAAAAATTTAAAATAATAATAAATAAATAGTGTTTCTGGAAATGAAAAAAATTTATTTTTGTGTTTAAGCATCATTTCCCCATTCTTGAAAACATGGACCATCCCCCCTTCCCCCACCTCCCCCCAAACCTTCCCACTTTGAGACAAATGACAGGAAACGGGTAGTTGTGGTGTAGTTGGTCTGCCCTTCCAGCTGGGGCTGTGCTCTCTGCACGGGGTGGGACAGGCTAGGAACAAAGCCATACACCTCCCGCACTGCACGAGATGAGAGTCGCTCAGTTCAATTTCACATTTAAATTTCACTGTCATTGGAACAAATTTGGAGTTTTTAGCTAGATAATTTTAAAATAGAATGAAAAGGGATAGCGCACCTTTCATTTAAACAAAGTCTTTCCAGACTAAAAATAGATTTATATATATATATTTTTTATCGCTCCCTTTTAAGTCCCCCCCTTCCCTGTCACCCCCCACCCCCCTCCCCCCACACTGTCACTATGGAGATTGTGTCCATGGAAACAGCCATTCCAACATCTTGGGTCTTTCCTGCGGTGCCACAGGTTTGAGTGTGATGTGAGAACTTAGGAAGGAAGTGTTGGCATGGGCAGGCACATCGGGGCAGGTGGGGTGGGGTGTGGCTGCACAGTAGGAAGATTTCCAATCCATCTCAAGCATCCACCACCTTCTCATCTCCACAGTCTCACCTGAAAGACAACGACAGATGCTGAGTGCTAGGGACCTCCACACGACCCCTCCACCAAGCAGTCCCTGGGACCCCTGGACGCAGCACCTCGGTGGCCATGCTCCTAAAGCAGGACACAGCCAAAGCCATGCAGCTGCCAGCGGGAGCTTGGGCCTGGAGAGCAAAGGGCAGGAGTGACCCAGTCAGGCAGGCTGGCTCTTAGGGGTGAGTCCACCTCCAGAGATGGGCCCTGTTTAACGGGGTAGCTGTTTCTGGCCTTCAGCTGGGCTTGTCCTGGGGGGAGAGGGGGGCGGACCAGAGACACCAAGTGACCCAGGGCCAGTTCTTCAAGAACCCCCATCAAGAACATTCCTGCCAGGGTCTCCGACAGTGTTGACACATGTCAGCTTGTTCCCAGGTCCTGTCAATCCCGGCCCCCAGGCCCCAAAACAGGGTTCCAGATTCAAGAAGGGCAGATGGAGCAGCTCACCTGCTGTCTGATTCAACCCAGCAAATCGACTTTGGAGGCCAGGATCAGCCCCTGCCTGCCTGCCCACCACTGAACTCTTCCATCTGCATTTGTGGGCCCTGCTATATTTTCCTCCATCTTCTTCAGTGTCCCCCATCAACAAACCAACCTGAGAGAAAGCCAGGCCACACCCTCTTCTGCTTCTGTAAGGGTTACCAGCGGGCCAGGCAGCCAAGGAGGCTAGCGCAGGCGGGATGCAGAACACACAGGCACACTCGCATTCTCTCACTTGTCTCTGACAAACAGGCTCCTGACTGCTTGGTAGAAAATACCAATAACGACTTTGCAAACAGATCCAGGAAGACAGCTGCCAAGCTGGAGTGAGAGCTAAGCACCCCGTGGTTTGTAAGCATCCCTCACCCCATGGCAGCTCTGGGTCCGGAGACCTCCTCACCCTCTAGGGCCAGATCTCCTCTTCTGGTACAACCCTTCCCCCAACAGCCAGGGACGGCCTCCACTGCCCTGCTCAGCTTTCCTAGGCTAAGGCCACAGGCAAAGGGGAAGGCAGCAGTGTCACAGGGCTGTCCCCAGAACCTTCTCAGATGCCACCACAGGGAAAAAAAGACCCTCTGGAAATGTAACGAGAAGGGCGGAGCTAACGGGCACCCCTCAAGGAACAACCAGGAAAGGAAGAATCTCACTGGGGATGGTGAATGCCTCCACCATTGGGTGAAGGGACAGAGCAGACCGCCCCTCCGTTAAGCCAGCTGCTGGCAGGACGCCAGCCTCCAAACTTACACCTCAGGGCCAGGGCCTGCCTCACTGGCCTGGGCACCATCTGCTAACCTTCCCAACAGGGAGTTACCCACAGCGTCTGCTCACTGGGCCACCCAAACACACGTGTCACTGAACACAATGGACCATGACTTCTCCAATCTCTTTTCTTTTTAAAACCTTCCACCTGCTGCTTCACTCCCCAAACAGTTACAACAGCTTAGAGCTGGGCCACATTGAAGCCAGCAGCCTGGAACTCCATCCAGGTTCCCCATGTGGGTGACAGGGGACCAAGCACTTGGGCCATGTTCTCCAGCTTTCCCAGATGAATTAGCAGGGAACTGGACTGGAAGTGGAGCATCCAGGACTCGAATGGGATGCCAGTGTGCTGGTCCTCCAGTTATTTTTAGAAACAAAATGGTTTGGGGTTGGCATTGTAATACGGCTGGTGAAGCCACCCCCCGTGTCCTGGCCGCCCTACTTTCAATCCAGCTAGTGGCTGGATAAACAGTGGAAGATGGCAAGTGTTGTTGGGTTCCTGAAGCGCGCGTGGGAGATGAGGATGGAGCTTCTGACCTTGCAGCTTGGTCCAGTGCTGACCAGTGTAGCTATTAGGGTAGTGTGCCAGTAGATGAAAGATCTGTCATCCCCTTCAACTCCTTCTGAATAAATAAAAAAATTTCTAAAAGAAATAAGTTAAAAAAAAATACAACCCCACACAATGGTTTCCTGAGCAGGGAGAGCAGCTTTGGCTCGTGCCAGGCCTGTGCTAGCTGCAGGCCTTGGAGATGCTTCATTTCTCGGACTGCAGGAGGGAGCCACCCAAAGCATCACGACTGACCACAGGTGGCCATGGGGCTTGGCTGCTCAAGTTCTCCCATATCCAGTGACAGAGGACAGGGCTGTGCCAGCCGAGCCTCCAAGCCGGTTCTCAGGATGCCGGTGCTAAGAACAATTCACTCTCTTTACAAGGCTCTTTGGGCAGGCACGTGACACAGCAGGTGCCACGTGGGACATTACATCCCACAGCAAGCGCCTCCGAGTCCTGGCTCCACGTCTGATCCACCTCTCCCTGGGAGGCAGAAGATAATCCAGTGCTTGGGAAGCCCAGATGGAGATGGCTCGCGGCTTCAGCCTAACCCAGCCTGTCCAGCTGCTGTGAGCATCTGGGGAGTGAAGCAGTTCATGGAGACAGATGGAAGATCTTTCTTCCTCACTTTCAAATGAAGGCTTCTGAACTCTGAACAGCTGTAGGGCTGCATCCTGGGCCACAGGCTTTCCATGTTTCCTGCCTCAATTGCTTGTCCTGTCCATCCTGCTCCCGCACAACCCTGAAGTTTGAACCTGGGCACATTCTATGCTTTTTATTTCCATGCCAGGTCCCAAGATTCCCTTCCCAACTATGCAGGGAACCACTAACTCCATACCACCTTACCCACCCAGGACCCAGACAGAGCCTGTCCCCTCATGGCCAGACACGTCATACTCCCTACCCGAGGGCAAGGGTTTGGAGGAAAATCTGTGTCAGCTGAGGGCAGACAGGCCAGGTTAGCTCCCAGTACTCTCAGGAGGCACACATTCTGTCAACACCGCCATGGGCCCTGCACTGTTAGGTCACGGCAACATAGCCAGCGACAGTCCCCGCCCACAGGGCTCCATCTACGGAGTATGGGCTGCCAAGTGGGGAGGAAGTGATTCAGACAACGATTTAGGGAGCACGGCTGTTCTTGAGGGATGGGTGCTGGGAAGTACACAAAGTCATAGGGGGGAAAGCCAGGGACTTGGAGAGCCTCACCGGAGATTCCTGGGGTCTTGAGGCAGTGTAAGGAGCCTGGATCAGGTCCAGGGTGAGCGACAGGGCTGGAAGGAGGGCTCGAGAAGATGGCCCTGCGGCCCAGAGGCAGCCACTGTACAGTTCCAAGGCAGGACTGGGGCTGGTAGAGACACTTGCGTTCTCCTCAGGAGGTGTTATCCAGGGGTGTCTCTCAAATAAGCATAGGAAAGTGACACTCCAGAATGTGCTACTGCTCCTAAGTGGGTGGTGGGCCGTATGACCCCTGCCACCTGTCTCAGCTTCCTTCCTTGGCTGGTAAAGGTCCTTATTCCCTCCCCTGAATCACAGGGCCTGGCACAGGACCAGACCAGGAACAGGGTACAGCGGTCCTGTTGGCAGAGCCCTGCCGTCCAGCTATGTGGAAGCCAGAGAGATGATGACACAGGGCAGGCACCCAGGGGCCAAGCTGCCAAAGGACTTTTCCTCTGGTGTCCCTGGTCTGGCGAGGGCTTGGTGCAGGTGCCTCACATGCTGGGGAGTAGGCAGCATCTTCTGGTGTCTCTCTGTGCCTGGACCTCTCCAGTCCCTGCTCCTGAAATCCAGTCAGGACACAGCCCCACCGAAGCCAGAGCCCATGCCTGGCTGTGCTAATGGGGCAGACAGGTCCTAACTGAAACCCAGAAGGATGGTACAGAGGCAGTTGGTGGCACACAGCAAATTTCATGCCATGATGTGTAAGGAGGTAGGATAAGGGTGCACCCGCTGTCCTTGCCTGCCTTTTTTGGGGTGCCAATAACAGTAGCTGGGTCCCCAGCAGGGACCATGGGAAGAGCACTAGCCAAGGGCAGCGTGCCCCTGCCTGGGTCACAGGGCTGCAACAAGATCCTCTGGCTCCCTGAGGGAACTCCACAGAGCTGAAAACCCAGAAAAAGGAATCTATCTACTGGCAGCGGTGAACAGAACAAGCATTTCACATGGAGAAGTGTGGACAGTAGGTCTGCGCTTCCCCTGGTTATACCACTGCCAGCTGGCTTAGGACGAGTGGGCAAATAGCATGTCTACAGGTCTGCCTACCAGGCCCAGACCTTCTCTTTTTCTCCAACCCAGGCTGGCTGGCATTCTGGGACAAGAGTGCCAGCACCAAGCAATGAACAGGACACATTTCTGAGACACACCACGGAGGCACTGTGTGGAAGATGGCAGAGCCTGCAGTGACACATCAGGAGTCCCAGGAGGCCAGTGAGAACAGAAAACACCCCCAGCACTGCCTCACAGCCCAGCCGGCCTGTGAAGGCTGCTGCCACCTGGAGAGTGCCAATGGCTGCCAAGCCCATGGGGTTCCTGAGATCTAAGGGGTCATTTCCCAGTAGCTGCCCCACTCTGCACAGACCCCTCCCCTGCTGGCCTATTCCCTGGAACAAAAGGCTCAGCGCCACGCCGTCAGGAACGTACAGGGAGCCCCCTGGCCTCCAGGCCACCTCGCAGTCCCCGCGTCAGTGCTGGGATCTCCAAAGAAGCAGCAGGAAAACTGCCACTTTTTGAGACGAATCTGGTTTTTCCCCTCAAATTACTGTCAGGTTTTCCAGAAAAAAAGCAGAAACCTCCTGGGGGGAGAGGACATTCCACAGTGAACAGCGAGGGGGGTGCTCCCCTGAGGGGCAGGTGCACACGGTGGAGGCTCGCATAGCAGCCCCACAGAGAACAACCCTTTCCCCTCCCAAAGAAGCAGGAGCCGAGTCCCATCTGGCTCGTCCTTCTCTTCAGTCTCTCTGACTCGGCAAGGTAGGGAGGGAGAAGCCACAGACCCAGGACAGTGATCTCTCCCACGGGCCTCTGGCCACACGCAGGCTCAGGCAGCCCCACGCCCAGTCAGGAGCTTGCCAAACAGCAGGGTTCAAAGAAATCAGACACTAAAGTCTACTAAATCTTTGAGGGGCATTTTCCTTCCTTTTGTACTTCCACAAAAGGGATTGTCCACAGTACTGGGAGGGGAACCTGGAGACTTTTTTATATTTTCAAAGGAAAAACACTTGACGTTTTACAAAAACGCCCTTAGACTGACACACAAGAGATCTCTGGCTAGAAGCCTTTCTGAGCCGGCAGGACCTTCCCCCGAGACGCCTGACGTGGTCACGCTCTGCTCACAGGGGCCGACTCCAGGAAGTCAGCTACATCCCAACCCAGGGGGTAGAGGATGGCTCAGCTGCCACCACACTCCCTCAGGTACTCTGCAGAGTTCAGTAACCAAGGACGGGAAACCGTGGTAATCCAGGAACTTCCGTGGTGGTGGTGGTGCAGCCTGGGCGAGAAGAGGGCAGAGGCCACAACACCCGCAGGGGCTGGACGGGGTGGTGGGGGCAGCCCAGCAGCCCGACTCACCTGTGCTTGCTGTCCTTTCCATTCCCACGAGCACACTGCCCCCCTCACCCCCGCTCCGACTGCTCTGTGCTGAGGCTCCCTTTCGCGGTCTTGTTCTGCAAGGGGGGCAGAGGGCACGGGAGGGGAGGCTGCCGCGGGCAGAGCAGGGATGAGACAGGACAGAGGGACAGGGAGTGCGCCCAGAGGCAAAGACAGGAACGACACACGAGAAAGGAAAGAAAAAGCAGAGTCAGTACTGAATGACAAACAGGAGGTGTTCAGACAGGCCTCTCAGAAGCAAAATAGGACACACAGTAGGAACAGGACACGGTGTGCTCCGGGACCCAGCTCCGGAAAGGTCTGAGGACTGACGGCACACCTGTCCAGGGACTCTTTCTAGTACTTTCTGCAGATGGTGGCCTGTAAGTAGCCAATGACCACCAGGTGTCAGTGTGACCTCATCAGAAAGGAAAGGCCAGCACAGCTGGCAAATGCTGGCAATGCAGGCGCATGTTGGCATCACCCCCTGCCATCCCATTCTCCTGGCACCTCACCAACAAGCCACTCACCCCTCACCCTGCACCCGTTCCTAAAAGGGATGACCAGGAGGCCATTTCTGTGGAAGCAGGGCAGCCAAGAGCTCTTCAGCTGCATACGTCCAGGTCAGCTCTGCCCAGACAGCCTGGAGCAGATGGGGCTTGCCTAAGTTGTGGACTCACCCCCTTCTGTCTGGGAAAACACCCTCGGCTTATCGATCAGGCCTGGAATCAGCCTGGCCACGTGCCAGCTCTGTCAAACCAGAGTGACAACGAGTAGTTACCAGCAAGTGGGAGAGTTCGGTCTTAGAGCCCCTGATGTCACACAGCCTGCTGGTCTGCTGGGCAGGGGTCTCCCTGGAGTATCAGACCTCGCACTCCCTGAGGACCAGGTGGGGGTGCCCTGCTGGCAGCACAGGTTCTTGGACTCTCTCACTCACCTTGTGCTTGGGGCACCTCACTGAGAAGTTCTCCTCGTGTAGCAAACAATCTGCAAGGCAGAAGGAGATGGTCAGCTGGAGTCTACGTGCACAGGCACTGCCAGGGCATGGGCACAGAGGCCAGAACACACTGCGATCTTCAACAGCAAGACCTCAGAGACACCACAAAGCAAGTCACTTAGAACCATATACAAATGTGCATAAGTATATTACAATTTTATTAAATGTTTTATATATATTTTTAAAAATGACTGAAGGAAAAAAATCTACCAACATGTCACAGTGGTTCTCTGTGGCTAGATTATTTTTATTTTTTTTTATATTCCCACCATGATACCATTTTGATAGAGATCGTTTGCAACACTTGTCATTGCTGACACCCTTGATTCTAGCTAAGGCCACCACCCAGATTCAAGCCAGTGCCTCTGCGGGAACGCTCCTCGGAGGGCAGGGGCTCCTGCTCTCCTGGGTACAGAGGCCCAGGCCCCCCAGACACACAGGAGTCAGGCTGCAGGCCCAGCTGCCACCTACATCTTACAACCCATGGAGGCACAAGGCAAGCTCTGACCCGAATCATATAATCCACGCTTCCCAGGAAAGTAAAACTCCACAAGGGAGCTCTTAATCCTTGGAGAAAAAACAACTCATTTCAACTCTGAACACGGCGACAGCACCCTTGCTGACGGCAAGCACACACGTGCCTGAGGCGAGCGGGGCTCTGGCACAAGGATGGTGGAGCAGGAGAGGACATCTAATTAACGAGTTCACGCTGCAGCTGCAGCTGCTGGGGACTGGCAGCCAGGTCACTGGTGCAGGATGTGGCGGCAGAATGTTAATCAGCATTGATCACACATTCTCAGAGAGCTCCGGGCACCGCGGCGGGAGGCAGCACGGCACTTACCCTTGTCGAGTGTACGATTTAACTCGGGTTTCAGCGGAGACCCAGCACAGCAGCCTGTGTTACACACAGACTTTACGTCAAAGAGTAATAAGCAAAGCACAGCTTCCAGGTCTTCCAGATCCTCAGCAGATCAGATCAGACTCTTGCATCTTTTCCTAAAACGCCTAACCCTGTAAGCAGCACCTGCCTTCCAAATCCCTGAGTGCTGGAGCAGGTGGACAGGCCGCCTTGTCTGCTCACAGGCCTGGGAAGACAGCAGCTCATCACTAAGCCCAGGCCCTCCCGCTGCACTAAACGAAATGTGTTCTTTTAAAGCCAAGTACAAAACGTGACCAAGACTGCTGCTGCTCGCATCAGCCCGAGTTCTGATGGACACAGGGGACAGCTGCCCGCAGCTCGGGGATGCACCTTCCCTCACGGCTCACCATGTGGTGCCTGTCCCAGGGCCTTGGGGCCGCCCCAGGCCACAGGCCTTTACCAAGCCAAGGCTGGGGTAGCAGCAGAGGGCTCCATGAGCAAGGGACAGGTGGCCAGCTGCCCAGGGTCATGGACTAGCGAGCAGCTGTGTTAGAGCCTTGGTAACATACGGCTCCAGACGGACACGCATCCCTCTGAGATGAAAGCACCAGAAATAAAGCACTCTGAGCACATGACAGGCGACTCGTTGCGAGCGCCAGGCACTTTGGAAACGGGCATCTTCTCCAGGGATGTGCCAGGGGAAGTGGAGACCTCTGGCCAAGGCCCTCCACACAGCAATCACACAACACTCCTTTCTGTTCAACTTCCCTACAGGCCTCCAGGAGCTGCAATTCCCATTTTTGGGAATGGTTCAAACTATAGTTGGAGAGCTTAGATACCCAAGGGGCTCTAGGGAGCCTCTTTTTGGCTACTTCCTATCAGGCCTGCTATGGGACAGCAGAGAAGAGCAGGGCACGTGGTAAAGTCTCTGAGCAGGCCTCTCAGCAGATACGTGGCTCCTCCAGGGCTGACCAGGCCGAGTACTACCCACTGCCAGAGGGCTCAGGCCACAGAGCCACAGGGTGTGCTCAGAGGAGACAGCTCCCTCATGCCACACAAGCTGCGGAAGACTCACTAGGCAGAGAACAAAAAGAATAGCACCCACACAACATCAGACCCCCAAATCTAAACACGCCTTTAAAGTTCCAAGTTAAAGGATGGAGTTGGCCAAGTTTCTTCTACAGAGCTTCAGACATTCTTGGCAGCCCTACCCCCCAGGGCGAAGTGCGAGCGAGGAAAGGGGAAGGGTCCATGGCCTCTGGAACTGCCAGGAATCTGACACTGTCCCCAGTGTAGCTCAGCACACAACTCAGAGCAGGGCATGGTGGCTGCTGGGTACCTGGGGCACAGACAGGGAACTGTCCAGTTGGGGGGGGTCCACTCTGTGATGCAGGTCGCTACTCACCAGAGTTCCAAAGGGAGCCACACAGGGCTCTGACCCCACGACTACAAGAGAGGCTGTAGCGAGTAAGGTTCCCAACCATGTCTGTTCCCCCCAAAAGGGGAAAAACCCCCGACAGGAGAGGCAGCAGTGGAGTTTCTGATTAAATACTACAGCCCAGCACCTTGACTTTGTTGTTGGGACCCACTGCACTAAATACATCCAAAAGTGCCTCAGCAAGACTTCATGTCCTTAATACTGCTCTCCCTTCCTAGAGCCACGCCTCTACCCATGACATCACAAGTAGCACGGAAAGAGCTCACATGATGTCAGAAATGCAGATCAGCATCTGGCTGCTTCCATGGAGACAGCCCAGAGACACTAAAGGTCTGGGCAGCCGACAGCAGCAGAGATAAAACACTAAGCTGCTCCTGACTGTACCCAGAGAAAGTCAATCCAGGATGCCTTTCCCGGACTTGAAGACACCTATGGCAGAAGAGAGTTGCTCAGAGACAAAGCACAAACACCCTTTCCCACGAAGCAGTGCAGGCCCAGGTGGCTGTTCTCGGCTGTTGCTGCCCTCCCAGCTTTAGCTCTGCACAAAGGGACAGAGCGTGCAGCAGCCGAGGCAGCCCAGAGACCCCTCTCGCTGGACACTGGGTCACCATCTTCCGATGAACAGAGATGTCACAGCTTCCGGGGCTGGCACACAGGACAGGTGTGAGCGGAGGAAGCATTCTTCACTGACTCTCAGCAGCTGACGACAGAGGCCCTGGTCTCTGCTGCGGCAGAAAAGTGGTCTCCACACTGAAGCTCTGCCCACAGCCATGGGGCACCCCCAAGTACGCTGAGGCAGCAGCCATGTTGGTGACCAGGCTCACAGGAGGAGGCTGCCCTGTGCCGGCTCCTGGCACAGTTTTTCTCAAGGAAACTTTCTATGACGATGCTCTGGAGTTGCATGCCACGAGCAACCACTGGGCACCTGAAATACAGCTACTGAAACCAAGAACATGACTATTAAATCGAATTTTAGTGGCCAGGTGTGGCCGGCGGCTGGCCAGCACAGGCAGCTACGATGCCATGGAGAGGAACACGCCCTCCTCCTACAGGGCTTGTCCTGGCATTGTGGGCATTTTGGAGGGATGCAGGATCTTACTGTATCTCTATCTTGGCCTTCCAAGTAGCATGAAGAACTTAAACATACTTGAAAGCATACATTCAGGTCATCTTGCTTGGCTGCTGGCACCAAGCCCCCTAAGATCACTGTAAATGTCTTGCTCATGTAAGGTTATTGGGTGGGGTGGTCTGTCAGCCTGATATTAGGCTCTTCACTGGTTCTTGACACTGGGCTGATCTGTCTTTAGCTCTGGTGAGGGGCTCCAGAGTGGGATTCTCGATAGAGGCTGGTCACCAGGAAGATGATGCTGGCTCCTTCAGCACTACTCTGCTTCTCCCAGCAAGGGGTTTGGAAATGACTGACCACGCCTGTGTGATGAAGCCTCCACAGAAACCCCTGGGCCCTGCTGCTCACACACAGGAGTGACTAAAGGTGGAAGCTCTCCCCACGTACCTGGCCCTACCCATCTTTTCCATCTGGCTGTTCACTTGTATCGCTTAAAATATAGGGGCATTCTCATGAATTCTCTGAGAGCTGCTCCAAAATGCTCATCAAGCCCAAACGAGGGGGTAATGGCCCCGACTGGTAACTGCTGGTCATTCAGAAACATACAGCACAACTGGTGGCTGGCGACTGGTATCCAAAGGCAGGGCAGGGTGGGGAGGCAATCTCCGGGGCCCTTCACTGAGATCTGCACTGACCGTGAAAACGACAGGACAACCAGCAGTTGCACTAGAGAGCAGTGTGGTGTGCAGGGACTAACCTCTATGCTGTGTCTGGTCACAGGAGTATGTACTGCTGTGCTAAGTGAAATCACAGCAGGAAAAGAACTTGGCTTCTCCCATCTCCCAAACAAAATCTCAATGAGAAAAACACCCTGCCAACTAGCACCAGGAGGGAACTCCTTCAGCTCTGACCACACCATCTGAGGGGCCCGTGCTGCGGCAGGGCTACGATGCCAGCATCCCGTGTAAACACTGGCTCAAGTTCCCACTGCTCCTCGTCTGACCCAGCTCTCCCTGCTAATGCGCTGGGAAAGTAGCTCATGGCCCAAGCACGCAGGCTCCCGCGCCGCACGAAGATCAGAATGCAGTTCTGGGGTCTGGCCTTGGCCTGGCCCAGCCCCAGTTACATGTCTGTGGTCCAAGGGGCAGTAATTCAAGGTACAGAAAACTGATTTTTTTCTTCTCTTTCTGAACTCTCACTTTTCAAATAAATACATAAATCTTAAAAGAAAAAAAAAGAGTATCGTCTATGAAAAATCCACAGCTAGTGTTATATCTAATGGATCAGGAACAAGACAAACATGTCAGTTCCTGACACTTCCCTCTAACCAGGGGTTCCAGCTAGGACAACTAAGCAAGAAAAAGAGGAAAAGGAAGTAAAGCTATCTCTACTCATTCATGACATGACCTTGAATACAGAAACCCACTACAGATGATTACAACTAAGAATAATCATAGTTTCAGAATATAAGACCAATACATAAACACCAACTGTATTTCTTAACTTTCATAATACATAACCCTAAAATCGAGAAAATGATTTGAATTCCACTACAACACCCAGGGATAGTAAGACAGCAGAGGTGTGTGTGCCGTGCTGAACAGTGAAGCTGCCCCGAGGACTCCGTCAGAGTGCTGCTTCCAGTCTCGCTCTCAGGAGGCATGGAGGTTAGCCCAAGGTGCTCGGGTCCCTGCCACCCATGGAAAAGTCCCGAGTGAAATTCGAGACTCCTGATTTAAGCTGAGCTCAGCCCCATGTGTCACCCTGTCTCGTGAGTGTGTGTTCACACGCGCGTGCTGGACTGCTCTCCTCCCTCCCTGTCACTCTGCCTTTCAAACAGAAACAGGCCCACACCATGACCAAATGATTCCTCACAAGTGCCAACATCATTCAATGAGGCTACAGTAGCCTTTTCTAGAAACAGAGCTGGGACAGCTGGCCATCCACATGCAAAAGCATGAATTTGGATTCTTCCTTCACAAAAAAACAGAAATTAACTCAAAATGGATCAAAGAACTAAGTGTAAGAGCTGAAGCTACGCAACTCTTAGGGACAAAAGGTATAAATCTTTTAACTTCAGATTAGGCACTGGCTTCCTGAATATGGCATCAAAAGCACAAACAAGAAAAAAAAAGTAGATAAATAGGACTTCATCAAAAAAGTAAAACAAAAACATAATGACAATAACAAAAAAACCAATTAAGTTGCTGATGGGAGAAAATTATGTGCAGATTATGTATCTGGGCCCGGTGTAGTACCTAGAGGCTAAAGCCCACACCTTGCACACGTTGGGATCCCATATGGATGCCGGTTCGTATCCTGGGTATTCCACTTCCCATCCAGCTCCCTGCTTGGCCTGAGAAGGCAGTGCAGCATGATCCAGAGCCTTGGGACCCTGCACCTGCAGGGGAGACCCAGAAAAAGCTCCTGGCAAAGGATCTGGACAGGTACATAAACGGCCAACAGGCACACAGACCTGCCAGCAGGGAATGTCACAACCAGTGTCGGAGGGTGTGAGCGGACTGCCAGCCATGCTTTGCCGGGCCAACAAGGAGTCACAACACAACCCAGAAGTCCTCCACACAAGAGGAGTGGAAAAGATACACATTCAGCCACACAAAGACTTGAGTTTGACTGTGCTATAAGCAAGCCTGACAGTCACAAACTAGGAACAAGCCAAGTGCCTATCAACAGATCACCAGATACATACAATGTCCCTTAGGATAAAACAGTACATGGTAATACAAATGACACATACTACATGGATGAGTATTACATACGTTATGCAAAGTGAAAGAAGTTGGTTATAAAAGGCCACATAGTCTATAATTCCATCTATATGAACTATCCACAATGGGAAAATGCATAGATAGCAAGTAGGCTAGTGGTTGTCGAGGCTAAATGCGGGTGGTGGAGATGGTGTGTGAGAGAGAGAGAGAATGAGTGACTGCTAATGCACAGGAGTTTTCAAACAAGGTGACAGAATGTCCTGAGACCCACTGTGACGGCTGCACCACTCTTTGGATGCACACCTGATTGGTGAATCATACGAGAATTAGATGAATAAAACACAGACCCCCATCCCACTCCTCTGCAGCACAGGGTCAGGCAAGACAGAGAGCCTCAATCGGCAGTGCTGCCCAGCTTACCTGCGTCAACGGCACATGGGTAATGGTAGCGGAAGGAGCAGCCTTTGTTGTAGCAGCCCAAGGTGGCACCTGCCTCCTGGCAGCGAGAACATTTCTGAAAGAAAGGGAAGTTGGGCACGTCAGAATCTGAGATGCACCGCGCTCTGCCAGGCCTTCCCTGGCCGCCCCAGGAGGCCTCAGTACATCGCTGTGGCTGAGAGGCCGAGAGCAGCCCGGCTGCTCAATGGCTAACCACTGCTGCGACCACACTACGGGAAGTGACTCAGCATGATGATCCAGACGTCACAGAACACCACAGCAGGGCAAGGTGGGGGTACAGCCCTGCCCACCCACCGGCGAGTTCTGCCCCTGAGCTGCCTACTAATCTTGCACTGTTCACTTGTGCTGTGGAGTCAGGAGCAGGAGGGAAGAAAGGTAAGGGAGTAGGCTAAATATAAACCTCTCACAATTCAAAGTGGAATTTGGTTTCTCGTTCTTACAAGATGATTTTATTTTTATTTTTGATCTACTTACCCTCCATGCCCAAGAAAAGCATATTTCCCTTTTCAGAAGATGTGGGCTCCTGTGTGCAAACTGTATTTTTATACACAAATCCTATTTTAAATGCAACAGGAAACCTGTGATGAGAGTCTGGCCCCACGAGACAGTATCTGCTGGCTGAGACGTTCTCAGGGCGCAGCTGCTCAGCCGCTCCAGCCACACGGCTCGCTGAGGAAGGAAGCCGCGACACACCGCTTCAGGCTAACCCGGAGACAGGCGCTCCTCTTCCGCTCCCGCAGCAGGTCACTCAAGCTCGGGCACCCCAAGGTCAGCGCTGAGGGTCAACTACACCAGCGAGCAGGAGCTGCTCAGAGCACCCTGGGTGGGTGCATTGGACACCCACACCCAGTCTCGCCAGTCTCCGAGGTTCAGCTGCGAGGCTCAGGTTGACTGCCTGGGGCACCCTCTAGAGCCACACAGCAGACACCAGCAGAGACCTGAAAATCCTTCGAGAATTTCACCCTCCTCTCAGGAGACCATGATCCTTGTGGGTGATGATCGGATGGACAATTACACTGCATGCTCTTATACCCTTGCCAATAAAGAAAAAAAAAAGTCACCTAGCCTGGATAAAACCAAGGAATGTGCACAGCCACCACCTGCTTATATATATATATAAATATGAAAGGTAGAGAGACAGGGAAGAGAAGTCTAAGATGACAGCCAGAGAGATCTTCCGTCTGTTGGCACAGTCCTTCAATGCCCACTTGGTGACAGTTAGCCACAGTTTCACCCATGTTTCCCACAGGGGCAGCAGGGACCCATACACTTGGGCCATCACCCACTGCCTCAAAAGGAACATGCTCCACATTGGGGACCGTGGGGTGCCATCGGACAGCCTTCCCCCATTCCTGAGCACGGATGTGGCTGGGTTGCTGGGAGCAGCTCTCTCCCTCTTCTCTCTCCACTCTTCCCAGTTACCAGAAGGAAAAAGGAGACTGGAGGCAGCTGTCTCATCCACTTTCCCCATTCCTCGACCCTCCCACCCTGACTGTACTGTGGCCTACATGGGCATGCAACCCTCCCAGCTATGTATACATCCTCAAAAATAAATTGACTTAATTATTTAAAATTACTTATTCATTTTTAAGATGTCCTTATTTATCTGAACGTCAGGACTCAGGCCAGATCAGAGGGAAAGGCAAATAGGGAGCGAGATCTTCCCTCTGCTGGTTCACTCCCTTGATGGCTCCAACACACAGCCTTGGGCCACACTGAAGACAGGGCTAGGAGCTTTATCTGCTCACCCAGATGGGCACAGGAACCCAAGGACTCGGGCCATCTGCTGCTGCTTTCCCAGGCGCATTAGCAGAGCAGGGAGCTGAAGTGGAAGTGGAGCAGCCAGGACATAAATAGGCAGCTTTACCCAAAATACCAGAACGCTGGTCCTAGTTTTCACAAGGCCAATGCCTGTATCATGAGAGCCCAGAAGGGCACCGGGCCTGTCTCCAACATCCCTTTTTTCTAGTTGAAGAAAAGCAAAATGACCTGCTGAACATCACACAGGTAAGGAAAAACCAGAACTTAGGACTTCAGTCTTTTCTCTTCTGAATCCCAAGTTTAATCTTTATACTTTTCTGCGCTGCCTTCGAAGTCCCTTTCACTCACTCAACTGCCCAACACCTGAAAAATACCCACTGGCGCGTGGGGTCAAAACCAGAAATAAAAACGCATCTGCTCTGCCCTTCTGTTCCAAAAGTCAATATCCAAGGGTGTGTCACTTCCACTTAGAGTTCCAATCCTTACATTTCACCCTCAAAACCCTTTTTGCACTCTCATTCTACATACGGCAAATAGTAAAATCAACGCACAGCTAAATGTCCTTAGTGTCAGACTGTTCTGTTCACATAGATGCAACACATTCATTCCTAGGACAGGCTAACGCCACACAACTCAGCTCCCTGCAGAACTAGACGAGGGGCTTCAAGCACGGCTTTGAAATCAAGGCAGATTTCCAAACAAACAACAACTCAAACTCCTGATGATACAACGGCACGACAATAACCTTTCACTTACTACGGAAGGGATAAAAGGTATTGTAAGCACTCAAGCAATAACCCTGCGTTGCTAGGCACTACAGACGGGGGGAGATTATTAGACATGGTGTCAGTTCCAGAGCACACTGAGACAGAAGGGTCCGACATTCACCGACTCCCCCGGCCCTGCCAGTCTCACTGCTGACGTGAGCGTGCACACTGCTGAGCCGTTTGGTCCTCATCTAGGGAGGCTCCAAGGAGAGGGCTGCATGTCTCTTCATTCACAGAACAGCGCTCTCCTTGGAGACGTAACAGCGACCTGAATAATCATTCGGTTTAATGAGCATCTCAGAGCAGCCTTGGAGCAGCGAAGCATTTGGGTCAGAGTATTATTAGCGCATCGATGATGATGGGTTCTGTGAAAGCCTGGCAGATCACACACACTGCCATTCCTGTGCCCTGCTGGCTGTTACCCAGTGCTGCATACACACTGCCTGTGCTTACTCACTCCTCCCTGCCTGTCCACCTCCCCTGGGCTGTGAGAATCATTCCTGCACCCAGACCTGTACACTATAGGCACGGCAAATGGGGGCTGAAGGAACACAATGTGGATAATCAGCGCTGGAGGACACGCACGAGGCTGATGCTGGGAGAGCTTGGGGGATGGGGGGATGTGGGATGTGTTCCTTTTTGGCCACTAGCAACAGGCTTTTCTCTTTTTAATTATGCTTGTCATTATCTAGCGCAAAAGCCTCAGCCACCCTAGCTGTGCTCTCCAGCTCCATGGCAGCAACGCAGGCCACATCCACCAGCCGTGCCTCTGGGCTCTAGGAGCACCTTTCCTGGGGCAGCTGGGCACTGCCAAACCAAGGTGCTGCCAAAACAATGCATACACTGTCCTCTATGCTGGTCCCTGCTTCTTAGAGCTAGTCATGTGCCCACAGGAAAGCTCACACTACTGGCTGTAATTCTGCCATGCACTACACTCATAAGGATGTGGGGAAAGGGCTCTGGCATCAGCACTTGGACCCACGCCACAGCCCAGCAACACTGAGGTTTCCCAGCCAACCCTGGAAGGGCGCAAACACCTAGTCCCTGGCAAGTCCACTTTCCTCAATACAGCCAGAGGTACCCCTGGTGGGACAGAGCGACATCAAGATGGACATTCAACAGAGTGATTCAGACACTTAGGGTGGCTCGTGCCTCTTATCAACGAGCCTGGGTTCAACTCCAGACTCCAGCTCCCTCCCAAAACCCTGGGAGGCAGTGGTGATGGCTCAAGTTGATGGGCTCTCCCACTGCCTGGGGGTCCTGACCCAGACCAGTCACTATGGGACTGGGGGGGGGGGGGACCAGAGAATGTCTCTGCTTCTCAAGTAAACAATTCAGAACAAACTAATAGTTATTCTATGACCCACAGTGTTCTAACAAGTGTCAATTGCAGAAAATCAATTCAACAAATATACATCTTAATAAATCATGATAACGATAATGCCAGAATAAACACCAGTCAGCCATGTGTGCTGCAGCGCTCAGGCACACTCCAGCCTCGGGTGAACAGTACCGTCCACGAGCCAAGACATACGGAAGCTGGAGGCCAGCACAATTTCTTCAGCCACACAGTGGGGACCAGGCCACCTCCTCTTGCCCTGCTGACAAAGCCGTTGCAAGCAGTAACAGAAAGGAGTGTCCTGGGTGAGTCTGGACACACACTGGGCACAGCAGAGAAACTACCCCAGACAGGCACACTGGGCACAGCTAAAAACAGTGAGCTACAGGCTATGTGCCACACTCCATAGGCAGGGCTGCCCAGACAGCAAACACCTGCTGGATGCTCCTGGCCACCGTTCCCACACAGGTTTGAGGCCCACCAGATGGACCGACAGCATACTGAAGGTCCAGTGACCCATCTTCTGCCTCCTAGGACAGTCATGTGCCCATCTTCAAAATGAGCAGACAAAAGCCACACTTACATAATCAATTTTTAGTCTCTCACCTTTCAGATATAAAAATCCGCACCAACACTGCTGATTCACCCTCCCCTTCCCACCCAATGAAACATGCAGTCCGTCTCTGGAGGCGGCATCGTGGTCCCGCAGGTGAAAAGCCACACGCTGGGACGCCAGCACCCCATACAGGTGCTGGTTTCCAACACTGGCACTGATTCCCCACTGTCCTACTTCCGACCCAGCTCCCTGCCAAAGTGCGTGAGAACGCAGCAGAATGTGGTCTAACTGCCTGGGTTACTGTCACCATGTGGGAGACTCAGAAGAAGCTGGCTCAGCTGTGGCTGTTGTGGCCATGTGGATGGAGGATCTTTCTATCTCTCCCTCTGTACATCTGTCTTTCCAATAAAAATACATAAATGCTGGGTTTTTTTTGCTTGTTCATTTTTTAAATTGTTATTGGAGCAAGCATTTAGTTTAGTGGTTAAGGTACCACTTGGGGCAGCTGCATGCTAAATCAAGAGAGTCCAGGTTCAAGGCCAGGCTCTGCTTCAAATTCTAGCTTCCTGCTAATGTGCATCCCAGGAGGCAGCTTGGGCCATGGCTCAAGTCCTGGGGTCCCTGAAGGTTCT